CCAGGTCCGAAATAAATAATTACCAAATTATGTGTAACTGATGAGACATGTGTCATGAGGTAAAATTATTTACAAAAACGCATATATCACAAAATCGTAGTCTTTCTGTTTGATTTTGGATACTGTCAGTCAGTACAAAATTACTGTTAAATTTCATTTCATTGACAGTCTGTTCTATTGTTAAGGTTTCCTTTACTGAGTTTTAGCATTTGTCAGTAATTTTAGTTACCAGTTCAAGCAATTGATCAGTTAGATGATAATTAATGTATTAAACTGCTATATTTTAGTCACTAGAAATTAGTCGAAATTGAAGCACTGACATAACACACTTTAAAAAAATACTGGAGGGAAAGGTTGAAGCAAGAGAGCCAGAGGTAGACAACAATACAAGTGGGAGAATAACATTAAAATATGGACCAAAAGCTGTCTGAGAGAATGCACCATCGAGACGAGAAAGAGAGAGAGAGAGAAAGAAAGAAAGAGAGTTGGAGATCCATTGTAGTCAATCTTTATTGTGGAGAATGCTGCTGTTTGATTGACAGATTAAAGCTGAGAGCCCAATCAGTTAGAAAAGTTAACGTTGGTGCCAATTTAAACTCAGAACCTTTAGGACAGCAGGCAGGCATCTAACCCCACTACAACAGCTTCATAACTTGTTGGTGTTGGAAGAGAAATACATTTATGTCATATTTCACAAGGTTGTAAACAGAAGGTTGTCTATACAACTTTTCAAACATTTTATTTTCATGTACGCATTATTACTTAAAACTGGTACAGATTATTGCAACGTTTAATGAAAGGATGCAGGACTGATATCATTGCAATCAGACTTTCCAGCTAGTTCCCAGAACTTTCCAGCTAGTGCCCTGTTGCCTTCCTCATTTGCTAACAAAGATTATAACAAAGATTATGCCTGTTGTAATCTAATTACACTTATACATATCTTTTCCCCTGCTTGTTAACTCATTCAGTACTAAAACAACACACTCAACGTTCATTTGTCATTCCAAAGATAATGCCTCAGCTGTTTTCTATCTCGTACAGATGTTGTATTAACCCTTTGTGTCTGAATTATTAATTGAACAACTTCTGTCTCATAGTATCATTGTTGAACCCCCTCAGACCTACATATTTATTACTTTTAAGCATAACCCCTTGGAATAGACAGAGTTAAATCAACTACTTTTAGGACTTAAAGAGTTAAATGTCACCCACACCCTATGCTCTGTCTGCAATGAAACAATGAATAACATTCCGGGATGAATAAATTAACCTGTTCAGAAATATAAACCTGTGTTCTGTTACTAGGTAGTTTATATATGTGCAGCATGTTATAAATAAAAACTGTAAGTGGAAGTTACGGAACTGAACCTGTCCTTTACCACTGTGCAAACTGCAAGGTAATAATGTCTTCATATCTTTATGACTGCAGATTTATTAAAGTAGGTATAGTGATATGACTGGTTAATCATAAAAGCTATTTGGGAAGGGGGGGGGGGGCTGGGGTATTTTACTAAGCATGTTATAAAAGACAACTAAGGGATTGGGTTCGATTCTGTAGTTAGCTACACCATCCCACATAAAGTATAGCCACAAAAGCTGACCATCTATAAGGAAGTCTTTAAAAAAGGGTCTGGTGTGTATTGCTTAGTGGTCAATTTCTCTTTGGAGATCTGTTTCTTACTAATAGTACAAACTTGCACCAGAGAGAGAAGTGTTCCTCGACTGATTGTATGTTTATAGTATATACTAGTTGGAGCAGTGCAACATGAAACCAATGCAAGTCTTGCAGCTGGCATTGAACCCTGTAACTCGGAATTCTAAAAGACATTTGTAATATCAAAGCCACAGTTGATGCTGTAGTGATAAACCAGTGCATTAATCACTGTTCATATTGTAGGTCAAAACCACAGAAACCAAATATGATATTGGTAAGACAGTTCATTAACCACTATCCTATATTTGCAGTTCCTTACATTAGCCACTGTACTGTATAGGGAATTCCGTACAATAACCACTGTACTGTATTGTTAAGTCAGTACATTAACTTTGTAATGCATTGCTAAGTCAAGCATTGATCACTGTACTGTATTGTTCAACCAGTGTACATGAACCTATACAGTTTCTTCTATACTCTGCTAATAAACAGTATAGTTACTACTATGCTGTATTAGTGAGCCAATACATGAGCTAATATGCTACCACATCTCAAGTTATAATTCACCAGTGAAATGTTTTTATTAAGTGAAGTAACTGCTGTCCCTTATGACAGGTTGAGACTTGTATACACCCGTTATTTATTGTTCTATTCTGCACTAGAGTCAAGAATTGGCAGTCATGTGACTGACAGGTTGAAGAGAATATGTATAAATGACACCTCACATGGTCCATAACAGGATCTTACCTTAAGCACCGGACCATTATTTTGAGACTTAGATAAACAAGATTATTTCAAGGTTGGTGGGAAGTATTTTTTCTTCTTCTATAGATAGATAGATAGACTATCTGTATCTTCAATGTTGTTGTCTCTAGTATGAACTTCACTGTCTGCTGTGTTTCAATCAGTGACCCGTAAAGTTTGCACATACAGAAATATCTCCTACAGTGTTTGTGCATGGTATCCTGATTGCTGTGGTGCACCTCCTGGCTGGTTGCCTCCCACTTCGGCACCTTATTCTGATTATTTTGGTAAGCTAGATCAGCGTTCTGGCATATGAGATCGAACTATACACCCTGACATGTGTGTACACCTGTAAACAAGACTTGGCTTCATACGCATCATTGGCATATTGACATTTGTACTTAACACCAATCTCAGCCAATGTAGCATTGTTGCTTCATTGACCATTATGAGTTATGAAGTATACATGATTGTTTATGCGTAGACTTAAATGCATTTGGATACTTTAAAGAAATCACAATAAATTAGAAATTAGTTTTATTTTTTCATGTCTGTACTTGATTGTAAACAAATATTGTTGGGTTAAATATTTTTAATTAGTTTATTTTCCAAGTCTTGATGAGGCTAACATGCTTCGGTAAATGTTGACAAATTGTTTGTTTATTATTTTTTGCAGCCTTATAATGAAGAGTTACCTACACAGGATCATTACACCAGATAAAAATACTAATTTATTTCTTTTTTACTTAGCTACAATGAATGGCTGCAGTATTTTAAAAAAAAATTTTTTTTAAATTATTCTCGTAAAACCATCCACAAACTGAATTAAAAACACTTAATGTTACATCCAAAAAAAAGGGAGTCTTACATTTCAAAATTACAAGACAAGGATGTCAGAATTAAACAAGCAAAAATAGGATTTCCTTGGGTGAAAGGAACAGTAAAAGATATTGCAGTGAATATAAGTGACAAGAGAAGCTTTCACAACGCTAAGAAATTTACACATACTCAAAATTAAAATCAGTTCTAAACGTAAAGATCAGTCATATATTCAAATAAATACTTCTGTATGAATCAAAAGACTGGAGACCAACGAACCAATTGTTGTTGTGTAATTACAGTAGCAAAACAGCCCCACTGCCTCCAACAAGCATGTCGTAAAAGGCAACTAATTAAAAACTTGCTAAAATAGGATGTGTTGGGCTGAAAGGCACAGATACTGCAGCCTAGCTGTAAACCACAACACAATGTATCTAACTCCCTTTTTACAACAAACACTGAAGAAGTATAATTATAATGAAAACATTGAAATGGCTGCAACATTTTCAGTAGGTGATTACAACAGCCAAAAATTAAAGAATGTATTTTCTGATCAAGTTTCTGTAGACACATCATACTTGATCATAAAGTAAATGAAGCAAACAGGTACATCATCATTGTCATCATCATGTGCCCTGCTGACTGGCATAGGTGTTCATGCATTTCCACAGTTCTCTGTCCCTTGTTCTCTGGATCAGTTCCACCAATGATATCCCTCCATGCCACCGTCCATCCGTCATCATCTCTCTTGGTCCGCCTCTTCCTCTTCTACCATTGATCTTCGAAGTCGTTACAACATTCCCCATATCCTTCCCACTCATTACGTGACCAAAGAACAGTGCTTTTCTTTTCCTTATAGCTGTATATATTGACCTGCTTCCTTCAAGCAGTCCTCGTTATTACTCTGGCAGTCCAAGGGATTTTTAGCATACGTCTGAAAAACCACATTTCCAACGCCTCCAAGGTCTTTCTAATTTGTACATTCACATTCCGCATGTATAATATATATATATATATATATAAATAAATAGGTTTGCTTCACTAAATTTTCATTCAGTGTTTTCTTTTTATTTAAATTCTTTCATAATATTATAAGTCACATAGTGATTCCTCAATTTTTGTCTATCTTTTGCAATTTTTGTGATATTGTGTGTGAAATAAAGTTCACACCTCTGGCCTGTCGTAACAGCATTCATTGTAGGTTTTTCTCTTGAACATCTTCACTTATTAATCTATTTGTTAATTTTGTAGTGCCTGTTTTGTGATACTTTGTGTCTTTGTTTCAGGAAATGTCCTGTATTTCACCATCTTCTTAACATCATTATAATTACCATAAAAAGGGATTTTTTGATGGCAAGCCTTCATAAGTAAATAATAATAATAACAAACAAAAAAACTGTACACTGAGCACAGTAAATGAAAATGGCAGTAAAATAACTACATTATTCTGTAATTACCTCTTTGAGTCCCAGGGGGTTTAGCATCACAGGCCCATGGGGTAGTTACGAGAGATGTAAAATCGACACATCATGCGTTCATTGGGCCTCTAGGTAGGAATCTATGAACGTATGATGTGTTACTTGGGACTCAAAGAGTTAAATTTGGAAGGAAAAAAAAATAGCAGTGAAATTAAATAGGTGGCGATGCTACATTTTTGTTTTCCAGTTTTCACATGTTTATTTCAATCCAGCCCATTAATTTATACATATTTGTTATCAGTCCATTGTGACCAGTCATAATTTTGTATTTTCAATATTTCAGCTAGCCATACAATCTTCCGATGGCTCTTCAAGGTTAGTAAAGCATCAAATGTAGATAATAATGTGTAGAAGAAAATGTGTTCTCTTTTTTTAGACACAGATTTGTTTTAGTATCCAGAAGCCATGAGTTGTTAACCCTTAGGCTCGGTATTATGGATATCGCAACCTTTCGGCCTGATTCCATTGTAAATACCGTAAATCTAGGAGAAAATGTGGCTTTTCTGCCCACCCCCGGGAGTAAACCCGGACCACAAGGAGTTCTGTCACCCACTCACCGTGCAATACGGTTTAGCCAACTACGCTAGAGAGATGGCTTTTAGACACAGAAAATATTGACAGAATGAAAATAAGAAAGGTTACAGCATATATAAGTACTAAATACAGCACCAGCACTTCATGTCCAGATTTTTTTCCATATTATGCATTTCATGATTTCTGTTGACCTTGGTTGTTTACAAGTTCTGTTATCTTGCCCATTTCGTTTTCTAGTCACAGTTTATATTTTATTTAGTACTGCATTAATAAAGACTTGGATCAAAATATTTACTCATCTTTTCCATTCCCTCTGTCACAGAGGGAAGCTTTCTAGTCACAGTTTATATTTTATTTAGTACTGCATTGATAAAGACTTGGATCAAAACATTTACTCATCTTTTCCATTCCCTCTGTTTAGCTTTTTCTAGTCACAGTTTGTGTTGTATTTAGTACTTCTTGTTATCAGCTTGACTGCAAGCACTCTTATTGTCAACATATATCAGCATATATACCAAGGGATGCTATTATATAAGACATCCAAACATCCAAACATAAGTATAGCTCCCAAGAAACAGATCACAAACAGCACATTCATACCACCACCCTGCTAACAGTGCCAAACTTGGACATCTCCATAGGCTCACCTGTGTATGTAAAATTAACCAATGTGAAGTGAGATGCTTGACAAAAGCTGCCAACTTAACCATCCAAGATAGAGTAACAAATGGTACATCAGACAGACTGTGGGAATAACACTATGCTGCACATTCATTGAGAAACAGAAGACCAGATGGTTTGGTCTTCTTGCTAGAATGCAGCCAGAACCACTACCAACACAAATGATAAATGTGAAAAGATCTAATGCTACAAGTGATGGAGACTAAGAAACCATGGCCACAAGGCCATAGGCCAGTGGGTCTGTGGCTCATCTAGGTGGATGGACTCACCTTGGTCAGTTTTTTGATGACCTTTATTACTGGCTCAACAAACTGGCAGGGGATTACTTTCACCGCTCAGATAGATACGGAATGAAGTATACTTGACACTGCAAGGTATAAGAGGGTCAAGATGAGATAAGTATTTCAGAGTTGTAGAAATGAATCTGATTGAACCAAATGTTTCTAATCATCAGTGAACGTTGGAGTGTTTGATCCACAAAATAAAGTGTCGTATGCCGTAACTTCAAAGGAGCTTGAAGGCTTGAAAGACAAGAATTTTTCGTTCACCATTGAAGAAACAGCAGAGTAAGCCACATTTGTTACTAACTTTTTTAAGTTTGTCACCGTCTGTTGATTTTATGCCAGCCAAAGTTACAAAAATTTCTGAACAGGTTTAATGGGGAGATAATCATGTAGGAAAGTTACTTGCATTCACAGGATAGAAGGAAATATAAACACAGACACAGACAAATAACTATAGTAAAATAAAAATAAATGTTAATTAAAGGACAACTCTCATGCCAGTGGTGCATCCAACATATGATGCAATATAAATATACTAGGAGAGCTTTGGGCGAGAACTAAGCAAGCTCCAGTGGACCAAGAGGTGAAGAAAAGATGCTGGCGTTGGATAGGACACACATTGGGAAAACCGGAGAACAGCATAACTAGAATGTCTTTGCATTGGAACCCACAGGGGCATCGGAATAAATGAAGGCCAAAAAACACATGGAGAAGAGAGCTGGAGAATGAAATTAGAAAGATGGGGAGGATATGGGAAGAGCTCCATACAATAGCGAAGGATAGAACGACTTGGCGTGAGTTGGTTGAGGGCCTATGCTCTATTAGGGGATAGAAAGGCAGAAGAAGAAGAAGAAGGAGAGATATAAAACCGAACGAAAAGTATATCAGGGAGCTTCACAATATAACAAATACAAACACAACGAGAACTTTGCGGCTACATAGAATAGACAATACTACACAAATACACAATATTTATAAAAAAAATATTATTTTTTAATATACTAATAATATTTATAATTTGTTAAACCCACACAATATTTACATATATAAATATGCTACTGCAACACCTGAATAAAACTATTCCAGTTATTATTATTGCCTTTCAGAACTGAAATATGATGTAAGAAATACTAAATCAAGGCTGTGACCCTTTCTCTTTTGTTTCTGTGTGTATGTGTGTGTGGAATGACTGGTAAGCTTTCTTGTTTATTATGTGATCCGAAAAAAAAAAAAAATTAAACATGTGAGACAGAAGACTAAGGCTAGACACATTGCTTGCATCATATGGCATGGAACCTGTCTGGGTTTCGCATCGTCACATTCTTCTTTTCTAAAACTAAGTTACATCGACTTATTGATCGAAACAACATTAAAACATTAAAAGGAAAACCAGTCAACATGTGGCGAAATACTAAAACATGAGAAATAAATGTGGCAGTTATGTTTTTCCTCTATGGACAAAAAGGGGAGAGGGTAGTTGTGCATCAAGATAAAAGTCAACCTTGTCAAACCTTTATCACGGAGTTTAAATTGTGTTAATTTTAATTGTTGTGCCAACTTTAAATGTTGATTCTGGAGTAATTAAAAGTGAATTCTTTCTTCTTTTATTTTGCCATATTAAATATTAAATATAATAATTCATTATTACTATACTGTATGGAGGCCACCACAGTGACATCTAATGGGAAAGGGGGGGGGGGGGGGGGGCTGGAATGGTCAGAAGGGAGTCATGTTGCTTAAGTTTGATAAAATAATTAATATTTTTAATGTGCTTAATGGCAAATTAAAATAATAATATATTCAAATAATATAAAATAAGTAAGAAAATACTCAGAGGCCAGATGAGACCATCAAATTTTTTTTTGGGGGGGGGGGGGCTCTTAGCCACCTAAAAATTCATACAGTGGGGGGGGGGGGGAGACCTTGGCTTTCCTGAGCAACAATCCCCCCCCCCCCCCCCCCCCCCCCCTTTTCCAAGAAAACAGATAATTGGAGGAGGGGGGCAGGGGCTCTCATGTTCCACCAGCACACTTGCTGTACTGTAAAAGTAATATTGATGAAACAGTTATCTATTGTTGTTGCTGTTATAATATATATATATATATATATATTTCTTTTTTTTTTTCAACAGTGGAATGTCTCAAGCAGTTTTTAGAATAACTGATGACAGTGGCAAGATTTTACGTGAAAATATCTCTAAACCATTTCCAGCTGGGGCCATACAGAAGGTAATATCAGTTTTAAAAAAATGTTAAATAGTAATTCATGTATTACTGATCATAATTAGGTGTCTTGCCGACTGCCTTGGGTAGTCAGGCTTCTCCACAAATTAAAACTGCCACTGTCATGCTGAACACCACATTCCATGGGATGACCAAAGGCTACTGAGACTCTTCTCTCTTCCTCATGTGGATTCTTGGGCCCTGTTGAGACTCTTCTCTCTTCCCCATGTGGGTTCTTGGGCCCTGTTGAGACTCTTCTCTCTTCCCCATGTGGGTTCTTGGGCCCTGTTGAGACTCTTCTCTTGTCTATGTGGATTCTTGGGCCCTGTTGAGACTCTTCTCTCTTCCCCATGTGGGTTCTTGGGCCCTGTTGAGACTCTTCTCTATGTGGGTTCTTGGGCCCTGTTGAGACTCTTCTCTCATCTCCATGTGGGTTCTTGGGCCCTGTTGAGACACTTCTCTCTTCCCCATGTGTGTTCTTGGGCCCTGTTGAGACTCTTCTCTTTTCTATGTGGGTTGGGCCCTGTTGAGACTCTTCTCTTCTCTATGTGGGTTCTTTGACCCTGTTGAGACTCTTCTCTCATCCCCATGTGGGTTCTTGGGCCCTGTTGAGACTCTTCTCTTCTCTATGTGGGTTCTTGGGCCCTGTTGAGACTCTTCTCTCATCCCCATGTGGGTTCGTGGGCCCTGTTGAGACTATTCTCTCTTCCCCATGTGGGTTCTTGGGCCCTGTTGAGACTCTTCTCTTCTCTATGTGGGTTCTTGGGCCCTGTTGAGACTCTTCTCTCATTCCCATGTGGATTTTCGGGCCCTGTTGAGACTCTCCTCTCATACCCATGTGGATTCTTGGGCCCTGTTGAGACTCTTCTCTTCTCCATGTGGGTTCTTGGGCCCTGTTGAGACTTCTCTCTTCCCCATATGGGTTCTTGGGCCCTGTTGAGACTCTTCTCTCTTCTCCATGTGGGTTCTTGGGCCCTGTTGAGACTCTTCTCTCTTCTCCATGTGGGTTCTTGGGCCCTGTTGAGACTCTTGTCTCTTCTCCATGTGGGTTCTTGGGCCCTGTTGAGACTCTGCTCTCTTCCCCATGTGGGTTCTTGGGCCCTGTTGAGACTCTTCTCTCTTCTCCATGTGGGTTCTTGGGCCCTGTTGAGACTCTTCTCTCTTCCCCATGTGGGTTCTTGGGCCCTGTTGAGACTCTTCTCTCATCCCCATGTGGGTTTTTGGGCCCTGTTGAGACTCTTTTCTTCTCTATGTGGGTTTTTGGGCCCTGTTGAGACTCTTCTCTCATCCCCATGTGGGTTCTTGGGCCCTGTTGAGACTATTCTCTCTTCCCCATGTGGGTTCTTGGGCCCTGTTGAGACTCTTCTTTTTTCTGTGTGGGTTCTTGGGCCCTGTTGAGGCTCTTCTCTCATCCCCATGTGGATTTTTGGGCCCTGTTGAGACTCTTCTCTCATACCCATGTGGATTCTTGGGCCCTGTTGAGACTCTTTCCCATATGGGTTCTTGGGCCCTGTTGAGACTCTTATCTCTTCTCCATGTGGGTTCTTGGGCCCTGTTGAGACTCTTCTCTCTTCTCCATGTGGGTTCTTGGGCCCTTTTGAGACTCTTCTCTCTTCTCCATGTGGGTTCTTGGGCCCTGTTAAGACTCTTCTCTCATCCCAATGTGGATTCTTGGACCCTGTTGAGACTCTTCTCTCTTCCCCATGTGGGTTCTTGGGCCCTGTTGAGACTCTTCTCTCTTCTCCATGTGGGTTTGTGGGCCCTGTTGAGACTCTTCTCTCTTCCCCATGTGGGTTCTTGGGCCCTGTTGAGACTCTTCTCTCATCCCAATGTGGATTTTTGGGCCCTGAGACTCTTCTCTCATCCCCATGTGGGTTCTTGGGCCCTGTTGAGACTCTTCTCTCATCCCCATGTGGGTTCGTGGGCCCTGTTGAGACTCTTCTCTAATCCCCATGTTAGTTCTTGGGCCCTGTTGAGACTCTTCTCTCATACCCATGTGGGTTCTTGGGCCCTGTTGAGACTCTTCTCTCATCCCTATGTGGGTTCTTGGGCCCTGTTGAGACTCTTCTCTCATCCCCATGTGGGTTCGTGGGCCCTGTTGAGACTCTTCTCTCTTCCCCATGTGGGTTCTTGGGCCCTGTTGAGACTCTTCTCCCTTCCCCATGTGGGTTCTTCGGCCGTTTTTAAGTGAAAAAGAATAAACCCACTGCCTCATCCCCTGAACAAGCATATTGTAAAAGGGTGTGTTTCCTTCATTGGTGGAGTGCATCTGCCTGATAGGCTGGGGAACCAATAGTCTGCATATAAATAAGCCAAATCTGTAAAATGGATGTGCAGGAAAAAGTCAAGTTCTTGAAGAACACTTAAGTCCAGAAGTCAACAAATAAGCAGAACTTTCTGCCCCAGATTACTGCAGGTGAATGCTAAGAAAAAAGAAAAAGAGTTTTATCTCTTTGTCTTTATGTATCTCTTTTTCTATAACTAGGGGAACCAGCATGGGGAAATGCGGATATGAAACATGGAAAAATAATCAGAGACCACTTAACCTTAAAAATTTAGAAGCGAAATGCAGAGACTTTGTGGTAATAAGATAGGGATAAATTTGCAAATGTTTGTTTCACAAGCGCTTGTACATGAGAGTTCAAAGTTAGATTTGCATCAGTGACCAACCCCAGTGCTTTGTGCTCAGTTACACTTTCCACTTGAGTCGTCCCCAGTGTAGAGTTGAAGCGCTCTCTGTGAATTTAAGCTGTATAGTTTTTGTCTTTATTTATCAAAAAGAATGTTATTAACTTTAATAACCTAGGGTTAAATTTCATTGTTTCTAATTTTCTTATATGAATGTTATGGTCTATCATGTCAAAAGTTTTCTCAAAGTCTATAAACACCTCGCCACATATTTTCTCATCATTAATATTCTGGTGCCAGTTTTCTATCATGTTAGTTAATGCAGTATGGCACAAATATTTTGCTTGAAACCCTGATTGGTTATTCACTATAAGTGTCTTGTGATATAATTGTTGAAATGTTACATTATGAATATATTTCAATGGTGATAACAGGGATCTCTGTCTGTAGTTACCCAGGTCGAAGGAACCAGATTTTAGATGTGGATACACTTTGGCAACTTTATATGCCGATGGGAAGTAGCCTTTGACAAGACATTTGTTGTAAATAAAGGTCAACGACTCACAAATAACTGGGGCAGCACTGCGAAGGATCCTATTGCTGATTCTGTCTAAACCAGACGCAATGCTGTTTCTGAAGCTGTTTAGATGTGTAAACACATCAGCAACTGACATGGGAGGTGTATCAGAAGGAATATCTTTAGAGCATTTCTTTTCACAAAATGATGAAAGCAGGGATAAATCACATGGAAAATTAACTGTTAAATATCGGCTTAAAAGGAATTACTAAAATCATCAGATGTTATATTAGCTGTCAGTAAACGCATTGAAGTACTTTTTGTCAATGTATGAATTGCTGCCCATATATCTTTGGTGTTTGTTTTATCTGCTATTAGCTGTTTAGAAAAGTTTTTTTCTTCTTACGAATGACATACTGGACTTTGTTTTTCAGACTGCGGTATGTGATTACATTTTTGTGTGCCCTATCTCGCTCCTTCATAATTTTAACTACTTCCTGTGTGATCCAAGGGGATTTAGTTTGATGTTTCACACGGATCTCCGTAACTGGCACATGTTTATCAAATACATCTGTAGGTAGAGACAGAGAGAGGGAGAGAGAGACACATACACATACATGTACAAACCCTCTCCCTGTCTCTCTCTAGAATCTCGTTAACATAAAATCCAGTTTGTGCTAAAAAGATTTTTAAGCTAAGCAGGAACTAATGATGAAGATATTTCTCAGCAAGGAACAGACTTTTGTTCATGTTAACTAAGTGTTCTTCTTAAGCAAATTTGTGTTAACAGGGTTTTCCTGTATATGATGCTAACCTTGTTAACTAATTTTTCTTCGTCAGAAGTCCACAGAATTGCAGAGACATGCTTTTGTGGTCAAGGTAAAGAAACAGCCTGGTGTCAACCTAAATGACTATTTTTAGATTTTAAGATTGTGTTTGTTTATGTATCGTCATGTTTTCAGATGTCTGGTGGACACAAGTAGCAGATCACGTGCTTTAATATTTTTATTTTTTCTAAGACTTCATCGTCTTGAAATTATGTGGGTTTTTTGTGTGTGTGTGTGGGGGGCGGGGGGGTTTTTATATATTTATACCCAATTCTTGTTGGCTTTCAAAGGGGCTGCTTCTGAATTCGTCTAAGGATAATTACGGTGATTTTTTTTCTGCAATTTTGGGTGTTTCATTAGTAACATAATAGTACACAAGTATAGGAAAAGTCATGAAGAACCTATGGTACAGCATTTGCAAGCGGGTTAAAGTCAAAATTTTGAGATTTATGTCTTTCTTATAGCAACAAACGGATGTGAGTCATCGGCTCTTACTCTGTCATTAAAGAAAATATCGGAGCATTTGAACTGAAATGCTACATAAAATTTCTTAGAATACCACAGACTGAGAAAAATAAAAATGCTGACATCTTACATGATCTGAGCATCAAGGAGAAATAACTCCTAAACAGCTTCCTGTTCCCAAAATGGAGGTATTCTAGGCATGTTAAATCTGTCAAGGTGGCTTGGAGAGTATAGTTTGCAAAAAATTAGGCAGAGGCAGACCTCCGTGATGGTGGTTCAAGACACTGAATATGCATTGGCTATGAAAGGACAACGGGCTAGAGAATTGGCTATAGAAAGAGAGACATTCATGCATACTGTGATGAGAGGGATGTTCTGTAAAGGACCTGCTTTTTGGTGTTGACCAGTCAAGGGCTGTTTTCACACTTTAGCTGCATGGGGCATACAGTGCTAGACCTATATTTATATAGACCAGTCAGCACTTGACAATTCAAGTGTTGAAACATGAACATCTTCACCAACCATCTCTACTTCCTGGTACCAGTTTTAGGCTGGTTTCACTTGGAAGTCAGGATCAGGTTGTTGTTTTTTTTTTTTTTCTTTTTAAACCTATGTCAAACCAGATTTAATAGACCTTTGGGCATGCAGATGAGTTTTTAGTCACAATGCTACAGTGACATCTGTGCACAAGAATAGTTGTAAAAATAATACTGAATTACATTACAAGGACACATACCATCTGCATTACTAATCATATTTTCCACATATTCTGATCTCCAACAGAATTTATCACTTTGTGTGCTGACATTTTTAATACCATGACAAAAGATCCAACAGAATTTATCACTTTGTGTGCTGACAAATTTAATACCATGGCAAAAGATCCAACAGAATTTATCACTTTGTGTGCTGACAATTTACATACCATGACAAAAGATCCAACAGAATTTATCACTTTGTGTGCTGACATTTTTCTATACAATGGCAAAAAATTCAACAGAATTTATCACTTTGTGTGCTGACAAATGTAATACCATGACAAAAGATCCAACAGAATTTATCACTTTGTGTGCTGACAGATTTACATACTGTGATAAAAGATCTTCAGAGAATGAAGTGGTTTGGTCATTTAGTAAGAATGCAACCGGATCAGATTGCCTATAAGGCCTTTTACAATAGAACATCGGGAAGAAAGGCCAGAGGAAGACCCAGGAAAAAATGGATAGATGGAGTAGCTGAATACGGCCAGAAGATCCAGAAAACTGTCACTCAAATCATGCGAGAGGCCCAAAACAAATATTTTAAACCACGACACTGGGCTGCAACCCGGTAAAAGTGAAGAAGACAATAGATAGATAAAAGATCATCTTTTCTTTCCTTATCTCTTCTACTATAATTTTTTTCTAGTTGTCACAATATGTTCCAGATTGCTATTCTTTTTATGTGACTAAAAAATCTCAACATAGCCTTCGCTTCTCTTTGCATAAATCTAGTGATGACTGTAATTTTGTGATCATGACCTGACTGCAAATAGAGCAGGTCAGAAAATGAGAGGTCAGACAAGGGCACTATGCAAAAAACCAGAGTAATAAATGGAACCCGAACGAGTGTCGTTAGCTGCTAAACACCGAGGATTAAACTGTCACTTAAGGCTTGAAATGTGGGGAGGTGATCTGTCATCAAGCTGACTAGCTAAAAACATAGCTAGCATAAATGTATTTATTGTTCTACTTTTCGTATCTCTCAATCCATATTGTGAAAATTTTCTTTGTAAAGTTTAATTTGAGCAGATTAAATGGTGTAGAGCAGGGTCATTCAACTATGTTTAATCAAGTGCCATTGTATTGGGAGATGAGATTGTTGTGGGCCTGAGGCAGAGCCCCATCATAGAAACATTATTAACGCAATACAGGTAGCAGATGATCCACGGGCCACTTGCTAGGCCTCTATGGGCCAGATTTCGCCCACTGGCCACCAGTTGACAGCCCTGATGTAGAGTATATATGATGTAAACTAATTTGTTGGTTTAAATGTCGCTAGTATAAAGATGCCTTTTAAAAAGTATTTATGTGGTGTTTAGAATTTCAACTGTAATACATTTAACTATACTCTAATTGCATGAACTAAATTGTTGCCTTTGAAGTAAATAATTGTTTAGTTAATTTAATTATTTATGTGTCTCTCTTAATGCAGGCTGTGAAAGCTTTCATGTATTATGTTGAAATAAGTGTTAATGATTAGACGTGTATAAGATTAAAATATACCTTACAAAATATACACCCCAAATTGTTGGATCATTTATTTGTTCACTAACAGACAAACAAGTTAACTGCGTTCTTAACTGTCAAAACAAGTACCAAATAATCTATTGTAACAGATCACAGAAACGAAATGCAATTATGACTCAAGTCAAAATGTATGTGTAAATGTTAAGTATGAATCTAACAATGAGAGACAGATGAGAGCAGCAGTACAGTGTCTTTTATATAAGGAAGTACACTGAATAGAGGGAATTAATATCTGGGTGGTGTTTTTTTAATTGTGTTTTTTTTCCTCAACATTGTTTGACATGTTATAAGAAAGAATCTACTCAAAAACTTTGTATCAGCTGACACAATTGATGGAAAAAACAGCAAGGGAAAGACAAAGAAACAAATGCCTGGATAGTTTGGTCACATGGGTGGGGTGGAAAAGGAGCACTGACCTGACCTGGGATTGTATGGGATTGTGGCTCATAAACAGCATCCTGTTCTGTGAGCTGAGGTATTTTGGCCATGTGGTGGCATGTAGAGAACAGCACTGAAGGATATAGTTCCTGGAAAATGAGGCAGATCAACGCAAAACACTGAAGATGCTTTCGCTGTGAAAGCACATAGGGCTGGAGAATTGGCTATAGAAAGGGAGACTTTCAGGCATGCTGTGAAGAGAGAGAGAGAGAGAGATCTATAATGGATCTACTGATAGGATGGGATGGTAAACCAGGACTGTTTATTAGTGATGCCCACTCTGATGGGACTTAAAAGAAAAGATTGGTTATGTTTACAGTAAATATCAAATGCGGTAGATCTCCAGAATTTGTTCACTGTGAGGACACAGGATAATATACTGTTTTTTTTTTTTTAAACGTCCTGGATGCTGAAAATGTGGTTAGAGTGCTTATGGGAATGTTATGAGTTTTTCCAGTCCATCTTCTACTATTGTTGGTAGTTCAGCATTTGTCTTTTTCTTATTTATTTGCCTTCGAATTTTCTCTTAAATATTTAGCATTATTTGTAGCCATGTCTTAAATAGGAAAACTAAAAATTTAAGAATTGGGGAATTAATTAATTTGATGTTTAAGGACAGACCATTACTAGCATGACTATAACATCTTGTGCTGAAAACGGGACATTCCACTATTATTATGAGCTGCAAACAGAACATACTGCTAATATTTTGAGCTGAATACGGGAGGTGACGCTAAGTTTTTAAGCTGAATAGGGTACATCCCAAGCAACTTAGTTTTCAACGCTCTCATAAATCGAGCTGAGCATTTGGATAAATAAACAGCTTTCTATAGTATGATTAGGTTAAACGTCAGTTATACAATTTGTTGTCTGGTACACATAGAGAAACACAAATTAGGAAAGGGAACAATGAAAGAAAAAATTCAGAATAGCATGGACAAGAAATGCTGACATTCTAAAAGATCTGAACATCAAGGAAGATTGGCTGGTAAATATCATCTTGTCAAAGAAACTAAAATATTTTGGCCATTTAAAATGCCACAAGAGATTGGAAACATTTCTAAAACAGTTGTGACTGTTTTTTTCTTGTCATATTTGCTACTGTGACCCCTTCTTTCTAAAGTTAATAATTTTTTTTTAATTCCCTTACATGTACTCTATATAGTACAACTCTGGATTAAAATATGTTTATTATTTTTTTTAAATGTTCTTCTCCAGGACTGCCACATGAAAAAAGTAATGTCCATGACTCAAAAAGCCCCTTTTGAGATGCAAATCCAACAAGAAGAAACTCCAGATACCCAAAAAAAAAAAGGATAGAAGGTAGTACTATTGGAGCACCTTATGGTTACAAAATAGCCTGATGTCCTTCCTATGTGGCTGGGGTGAAACTACTGCCAGTGTTGTAGAAAAACCTGTCTGGAAATGGATGAGCGCAGTATATTACAACTGAGGTATCAAAAGCACAATTTGGGGCTAATGAATATTTTCTGTATTCTTTATTTACAAAGTGTGTTCACATGTGATCACGACGATCTAGTCTTCTTTCTTTAATGTCATTTAGGTACTTATCCTTGGCCTGATTTTTAAAATCTGCAGATTCATTGCTTGTAAGTGCAATTTTATGATTGCAGGCAAGTGACCCTTTCACAACACCTTCAATCATAAAGTCTAGTTTGTCTGCAATAAATGACCCATCCTCCCCCTTCACAATCTGAGCACAGGGAACAGAGTCCACGAATGTGTCTATAAGATTACTAACATAATAAACAAACACTTTCTGTCCGTCTGACTTCCTTTTGATGTTGACAGGAGGCTCGACCTTGTGGCATGGACATGCGTGAGATGATCTTGAATGTAGCATGGAGATTTCTTTCCTCCAGTTGGACATTAGCAGTGTAGCAGCTGTTTGGTCCAACCGCAATGTCGCTTGTAGCTTCCATGACCATGGTTTCCTCAAATTTTTGGCCCTCACTTTTCGTCACCTGTATCAGATGGTTCAACAAGAATATTTTAAAATGAAGTCTTTTAAAAAAAAGCAGCCACCATGCTGTAGCAGCTGGGTACTCGATTGCAGATCTGAAGGTCGTCGGTTCGAATCCGTATGCTGACAGACTTATGTGTTTTTGTTTTTTTAATTATTTTCCAAAAATAATCTTGGTTCCCAGGTTGACCCAGCTTTGAAAGTGTGCCAAGTAAGGTCGTAAAGGCAACAGCATGATGGTGACCACATCACCCACTGAGTGCCAATTAGTCTATAAAATATAGGTTTAACCCTATGTGCCCAACACATCTAAAGACCTGGGAAAAGGCCAACAGCAAAGTGGGAATAAAGACACACTAGCAACAAACAGGGTTGGCTGCCAGATCATAGCAGCAAACAGGGTTGGCTTCCAGATCAGAGTTCAGAAAATGTGCCAAACGCTAGATACAAATTGCCCAGACTCCCAGACGCCAAGAGAAGACAATTGCAAATTCATGCTCATATCAAAGTAAAGCTTGGATCAAAGTTATCATGATCGTCTCCATTGAAACCAGCACCATACACTCTGTCAGTAGAAACGTTCTTTAATATAGCAGGGGATAGGATAAAGCAGCAGGTCGCAACCTTTTTGTGGGTCGGACGACCCTTTGACAGGGGTCGCTAAAGACCTTCGGAAAACACACACTGCCGAAGTTAAGTAGCAACGAAAATAACCGTATGGCTGGGGCTCGCCACAACATATGGAACTGTATTAAAGGGTTACCGCATTAGAAAGATTGAGAGCCGCTGGGATCAAGTTATTACAACTAAGCAGTTCGGTTCTTATTCTTCCTATTGCTCCAAAAAGTTGCAGCTGCGTTCTACGTGTATTTCTATCTTTTGTTTCGACTCACCCTTATTCCCAGTCCTCTTCAATATTTAGGTGACAAAATATTGAATCCCATGTGAAGGAAAACACTCTCATACGCTGGTGACATACTAATGTACTGCCAAGGCAAGAACAGGGGCGGAATTGTAGATCTCCAGAAGGAACTGGAAAGCATAGCAGATTGGTGTAAAACCCCCGGAGCACAGATTAACCCTACAAAAGTGACTGCAACTTGATTCTCTTTTGAGCAACCACATAGTTCACACAATAACGCCCTCCGTGCAAATGAATGGTGAAGAGATTGCAAGGACTAAACTTTTTAAAATATATGCAAGTCAGTTTTGATCGAAGCCTTAGCTGCAGATTCAAAGTTGATACTATGATTAACAAGGCCAAAAAGGGTTTGGCTACAGTTAGAGTTATGGCTGCCATCTGTCGGGGGTGGTTGGGGGGGGGGGGTGATGCTCTCTGTCATAGAATATGCAATGGTAATCTTCGCACTCTGCAAGACGCAGATCGACAGACTGGAAAAGGTACAAAATCTATCTTCTTTTACCCCACTAGGACATAACACAAGCGATAAATACTCGATGACACAAAGTGCCACCATGTGGATGAGGATCATAGGTGGAGAGGTTCTAGAAACCGCGTTCAGCCATTAGACCATATTTATGGCGGGCTATATTGCGGCCCCTGGCAAGAGCCGGAGTAGGTCTTCAAACAACGAAAAATTGCATCCCACAAAGGGATGACAAAATATAAAGGTACAAAATAAAGCAATGCACATCATACTTAGTTGCACCAAAAACACATCATGTAGAACAATGAGATACCTACTAGATCTTCCGGATATAAACAGCATGTCTGAAATGCACCAAGCGATTACTTACCTCAAAATCACTGAGGTCTTTACACATCCACTGCACGATGAGCTGAATCCACGTTAAAGCAACAGACTTAAACGAGGCCAGTCTTAGTTGGGCTGGACAGAGACAATACTTCAAAGGGTAATTTCCCTTCAAGACATAAACCGTGGAGAAGAAGGATTTCCATATCAAGTGAATACAAGCAGTACTTTGTAGTGGTTATCACCATGACAAGACAGTGCCGTGATTTGGCGCCACTAATAGTTAATACATAAGTTATAGCATTGATAGAGGAGCACAAATCACCGGAAGATGCTGTTATTAATACAGACTGTTCTGTGATTCGTCAGAAACAAAGTGCGTGCGCTTTCACGGCAAGAACTAAAAAGGAAGTCATTAGTTAAAGAAGGCATGTAGTCTTTGCTACTACCACCACCAGCATGACAATGGATGTCTTGGTTGTGACAAAGGCCTTGGAAAAGCTGAAAACTCAGGAATTCACCAATGTATGTTTGCTGAGAAGCTCAATAAGCATGCTATGGAAGATCAAGGTTTAAAAAAAGTTTTTTAAAGTTCTAGGTTACAGCAAATATACGGAAGCGGTGGCTCCATCTGATACAGCACGCAGCGTTTCGAAACATCACTTTCATTTTTTACCCCAGGGAATATAATTCCCACTCTGCTGGATGTCCATTCATCACCTCGCGTTATACTTACCCACTTTGCTCTTAAGAGTTACACACATTCTTGGCGGAGGGGCAGATGCGTGAGGAAAATGCCACAAATCTGCGAGAACAAGTCTTTTTTTTTTTTAACCATTTTCCAAAATTGTCAAAGTTCTCGAATTTGGCATTTAAAGTGTCAAATTGGCAGCCCTGACAACACATCGAGAAGAGAGTGGGGTTGTGGGAAAGGCAGAAGGGGTGGCTAAGAATGTGGATTAAATATATGGAATGGTAAAGGATAGCATGACTTGGTGAAAGCTTGTTGAGAGTCTTTGTTTACTGGGATGGGGTGGGGTAGGAATAAGGGAATAGGAGATCAGAAAGAGCATTGTTGCATTAATAACTGCCGCTATTATATTTACCTCATACTGCACCTCTGTCTCTGCCTCCGCTTCACCAAAAGGAATCCCAATGCTGAAACTTGCTTTACCCCCAATTGTTATCCCTTTCTGGAAAGTGACCTCAATTTCTGTACGTCGCGTCTTCTCAAAGCGGAACTTGTATAGTTGCTGCTCTGCTGTTTCATTCCGGAACTCAGTGTCCAGTGATATGTACTCTGGGCTATAGGGAATAGCAAAATAATCTATTAGTTATCTGGCATAACATCATAGCTTTCGTTTTCTTTTTCTTTCGGATCGCATGGGCACACAATGGCATCTGTTTTATGCATATTTTTTAAGGAGTACTGTAACACTCATTTTACGCTAGACCAGCGGTTCTCAACCGGTGGGTCACGACCCTTTTAATGAGGTCAATATTAGCTTGTTGACATCTGCATTGAGTTTGTTCTTACGAGTTGATGGTATAGCCCAGTCGTCTCCAACCTTTACCCTGGAGTATTTACAAGACCCACACGCTATATAAACAAATTTATGTTTATGTTTATTTAAGCCTGATTCTGAAAATTCTCAATGCAGTGCACAAACACCGTTGCACCGGCGAGGATCCTGAAATACTTAGGGTAAATTTTTAACTCCAAATTTTGCCCTGGCTCCCTCCTTAGGCGACTCCTTTGTTAGATTTCCAACTGCCAAGGGATTATTTTTAATGTGCGCAACAATACACACGGGCGTTCAATCTTACTACACGGAGACCAGGGAAAATTACTAGAAGTCCACGTGAAACAAAATCCCAGTCTTCACCGGGGCTTGAGCCCGGAACTCCAGCACTCGAGGCGGACACAATACCTTGAGACCTCTCATTCCCCCCCCCCACCCCCGCACTATAAACATGTCCCACTAAAACGTGTGTTCAACAAACATATAAATAGAAAGCTTTCGGCGGTCGACCTACACAGTAGACACACATCTAAGAACTTTGAGATCAAAATCGAGAGGACGACGTAGATCCACAGCAGTTTATGGTAATTTGATTTTCTCCAGAAAACATAAAATTAACGGACAACATCAAGTTATACAAAAACTAACTTTGTGAGTTCCCTAGAAGGAGAAATTTTTCCTTTCAATAAACCGGACCGGTCTGTTCCGTCGTTGTGTGGTCCAGTTTCACTTGGAGTACTTTTGTCTCCAGGCGATCTAATGGTGAACTTTTTGGATGGTGTGATGATCTGGTCTATGTCCTCAAAATCAAAGTAATTCTCAGGCACTTCAATGTCGTAATCCTTTCTCTTGAGCAACATCCGCTTCAACGGTCCGTGACAGCTAAGAAAGCTTCTCCATGCCCTAAAACAAAGCAAACAGAAATAACGAATGAAAAAAAAAAAACAGCTTCGAGTGTGGGTTCCGGGGCCCTATTATGGGGGGGGGGGGGGTGAGGGGATACAGACCCACTGCGTCCAGTTACAAGCGTGTCGTAAAGGTCGACTATTTATAGGAGTGTTTGCGTGCATCTGCCTGAGAGGCGAGGAACCAACAATCTGCATATGGAAAGCCAGATCTGTTAAGCTGATGTGAGTGCAAAACTCAAGTTCTGGAACAAGACCAAAGTCCAGAAATGGACGAACAACCATAACTTTCTGCCGGAGTTTCTAGCCGGTGAACGCTAAGAAAAAGAAAGAGCTTGGAATTGTAAAAGCTGACAATTTTTACTCAGTCAGTCTCACAAAGTAAGGCAAGGAAATGTCTAAACCGAAAACTATTGTGGAAAATCACATGTTTTATTTCACAGAAATTACTTATGAGTAATGAAAGAATTTTTTTTCTTTCTCTCTTTCTTCTTCCTTCCTCGCGGCTCCCAGTCCACCCACCAAAAAAGTGTGAGTGCGCAGGAAGGGGGCAACAAGGGTCGTGACTCCCCCCCCCCCCCCCCACCCCCCCTCCTCCCAGGTTCCCGCCCCTATGCCACCTCCATCTATGACCATGTAGACCTCCATTCGTTAGTCAGTTATATCTTTTAAGAGAAAAACAAAAACAGTTTCTTATTCAACATACTGATTCACCATGGGTACCAATTTTGTATAGATATTTATGGAAATCGTTTCGGGGAGAAAAGTTAGTTTCATGTCTACTTAGGCATATCGCAAACCTCCAGCATTTACTAGCAGTTGTGTGTGTGTAGGAAGATAGGGGGGGGGGGGGGGACAATTTTGCATTCATGTTATTGCCACTGTTTTATGAACGGTACAACACTCACACTGTTGTCAAAATCAATGCAAAACAGGCAACTGTAAACTCGTCAGCAGCTGACCTTGACCACCGGTGTTAGGAAATGTGAAACTGTATTCATTACCTCCAAGCCACAGGAAAAGGCGAAGAAGAAGCCGACATCTCATTTCAATGTGTTTTTTTTTTTTTTGATGGGATAAAAATAGTAACGAAGAGGTCTTGAATGAAAAAGACTCGCGAAGAGAACTGATTGCCAACATCAGAAAAAAACAATTTACATGTATATTCTTTGGTCATGTGACGAGAAGGGTGAAACTGTACATCGGGAAAGTTAAAAAGTTGGAGGGGATGAGAGGCAGAGGGATACCGAGAGAAAAGATGTCGGACAGTTAGACATCATGGCATGGAGGATCATCTGTGCCAGTTGACTGGAAGTAGCCAGGACTGAAGTTGTGGACAGACATAACCGCCAACGCCATGGAAGAAATCTTTCGAATATATTGAGTTGTGTCAAGAACCGACACTTCTGCTCTTAGGATATTCCCATAAGCGTTGAAAGCTGCGGCGGGTTAGAAGCCTAATCTGGAATAAGAGACGGGTGGATATATCTGTCTACTTCTTTCCAATTATTCCTTTGAGTGCCAATCAATACTCTCTGTTCCTTTTTTTTTAAATTACTTCTACTGATGGCAAGCTGCAGCTCTTCTTCTTCTCTATGTCATCTTTTACAGCTTCGGATTTCGCGGGAGATATGAGGTCCTGCTTCGTGCTTTTCTGGGTGCTTCGACCGAAGGCACATTGTGGTACTGTAAGGCTTCTCTGATGTTATCATACAATTCTATTTTTCGTCTACCTTTTGCTCTACGTCCCTCTCCTCTTTTGGTATATGCCTTGAATGGTATGGCATCAAAAGGCATTCTCTCCAAGTGGGCAAACCATTTGATTTGATGTCTTTCTATGTAATTTAGAATTGGTTGTGTACTGATTTTATCTCGCATGACTTCATTCCTGATTTGATTTCGTTTGGTGACTTCTACAGCCTTTCTCAGACACCTCATTTCCATGGTTACTAAATTTTTTTTATGTTTTGTTGTGAGTTACCACGTCTAGCACTGGTAGCATAGGTTGGGAATGAATATGCTTTGTAAGAGATGTCTATTTGTGCTGACTGGGATTGCCTTTTTGTGTAAAAAAAAGGGGGATGGGGGTGGCTAGTTGTCCCAATACTTGGCCAGCTTTACTACATCGAATGTCAATTTCTTCGTCTGCGGTTCTAGTGGCATAATGTTTGTGCTAACACTTCTGACAGCTACCTTATGCATTGAAATGTTTGTGTAAGCTTTTGGATCAGCCAGGACTGCAGTTTATTTAATCTGTTTCCACAAGACACAGCTACGGGCATTCTGTGTGGTCTTTGCTTGCACGTGCCTGGAGCACATAACGGAATGACCTGTAGGCCGTGAAGCTAGAACTGCGAATAACTTAACTGAACTAAACATATTTTACTTACATTTCATTTAAGACCTCGGCTAGATCAACGATCAGGGGCTTTGTATCCTGGAAAACTGGAGGAGACCAGCAGCAGAACATGATAAACCTGGGTAGAGACAACAAGCAGGACATGGTAAACATGGGTAGACACAACAGGTAGGACATGGTAAACATGGGTAGACACAACAAGCAGGACATGGTAAACCTGGGTAGACACAACAGGTAGGACATGGTAAACATGGGTAGACACAACAAGCAGGACATGGTAAACCTGGGTAGACACAACAGGTAGGACATGGTAAACATGTGTAGACACAACAGGTAGGACATGGTAAACCTGGGTAGACACAACAAGTAGGACTTGTAAACATGGGTAGACACAACAAGTAGGACTTGTAAACATGGGTAGACACAACAAGTAGGACTTGTAAACATGGGTAGACACAACAAGTAGGACTTGTAAACATGGGTAGACACAACAAGTAGGACTTGTAAACATGGGTAGACACAACAAGTAGGACTTGTAAACATGGGTAGACACAACAAGCATAACATGGTAAACATGGGTAGACACAACAGGTAGGACATGGTAAACATGGGTAGATACAAGTAGGACATGGTAAACATGGGTAGACACAAGTAGGACATGGTAAACCTGGGCAGACACAACAAGTAGGACATTGTAAACATGGGTAGCAACAACAAGTAGGACATGGTAAACATGGGTAGACACAACAAGTAGGACTTGTAAACATGGGTAGACACAACAAGTAGGACTTGTAAATATGGGTAGACACAACAAGTAGGACTTGTAAACATGGGTAGACACAACAAGTAGGACTTGTAAACATGGGTAGACACATCAAGTAGGACTTGTAAACATGGGTAGACACAACAAGCATAACATGGTAAACATGGGTAGACACAACAAGCAGGACATGGTAAACCTAGGTAGACACAACAAGTAGGACTTGTAAACATGGGTAGACACAACAAGCAGAACATGGTAAACATGGGTAGACACAACAAGTAGGACTTGTAAACTTGGGTAGACACAACACGCAGGACATGGTAAACATGGGTAGACACAACACGCAGGACATGGTAAACATGGGTAGACACAACAGGTAGGACATGGTAAACATGGTTAGAAACAAGTAGGACATGGTAAACATGGGTAGACACAAGTAGGACATGGTAAACCTGGGCAGACACAACAGGTAGGACATTGTAAACATGGGTAGACATAGCAAGTAGGACTTGTAAACATGGGTAGACACAACAAGTAGGACTTGTAAACATGGGCAGACACAACAAGCAGAACATGGTAAACCTGGGTTGACACAACAAGCAGGACATGGGTAAACACAACAAGCAGGGCATGGTAAACATAGGTAGACACAACAAGCTGGACATGGTAAAGATGGGTAGACACAACAGGTGGGGCATGGTAAACATAGGTAGACACAAGTAGTACATGGTAAACCTGGGTAGCCACAAAAAGTAGGACATGGTAAACATGGGTAGACACAACAAGCAGGTCATGGTAAACCTGGGTAGACACAACAAGTAGGACATGGTAAACCTGGGTAGACACAACAAGTAGGACATGGTAAACCTGGGTAGACACAACGAGCAGGACATGGTAAACATGGGTAGACACAACAAGTAGGACATGGTAAACCTGGGTAGACACAACAAGTAGGACATGGTAAACATGGGTAGACACAAGTAGGACATGGTAAACATGGGTGGACACAACAAGCAGGACATGGTAAACCTATGTAGACACAACAAGTAGGACTTGGTAAACATGTGTAGACACAACAAGCAGAACATGGTAAACATGGGTAGACACAACAAGTAGGACATGGTAAACCTATGTAGACACAACAAGTAGGACATGGTAAACATGTGTAGACACAACAAGGAGAACATGGTAAACATGGGTAGACACAAGTAGGACATGGTAAACCTGGGTAGACACAACAAGCAGGACATGGTAAACATGGGTAGACACAACAAGTAGGACATGGTAAACCTGGGTAGACACAACAAGTAGGGCATGGTAAATCTGGGTAGACATAGCAAGCTGGAAACACGAGAGCATCAATAAATGTTGCCATACTGGTGTTAACAAGCAGTATGTCTAACACAGTACAAGCACAAAGAAGATACACTTCTTTATGAGGATTATATTTCATCAACACTACTACTAATACTGTTACTATTACCAGAACAGTTGATGATTTTTTTGTACAATAGGCCGTATGCTAATCACCTCCATGAGTTAATAGGTTTGTTACATTCCCCTGGGTGGTCAACTTAAAGAGGTTACATTATCGTTTTAAAACCAACCTATTTTAATTTCAGTGTTATTTCAGTTTTAACAAAAGCCAGTGAAAGTTGGAGAATCATTAAGAACATCGAACGGCAGTTAAATGCATTCAAAATAAAAATGGCCGCGAAAATTAATGAAAATTAAATGTGATTAATTTATGGCAGGTAAAGAAATAAAAGGAATTGTTCTTGACAACTGTTTATTGTACGACATTATGGGACACACAAGATAGCTTTATACTGGGCACATCACGAGCAGAAACGATAGGGCATCCCTAAACAGGTGAATTAGTGATGTGCAACCCCACCAGGAACACACAGCCAGCCGCTGCCACTCGCTGAGGCAAAGTTCCACCATTTGGATGAGAATCCCCGGGCGCAAATTCCAGAATAGTTTATATTAGGGCCCTCGACAACAGCCGGATTCAGATTCGGGTTCATATAAAAAATAAAAAATTACAAGCTTTATCCTCTTTTAGCCGCCCGAAGGCCTACTATTTTAAGGGGAGGTTCATTTGCTAACTGAGCTTGAATTCTGATTCTCTGTGGCGATCATTTTCGCTCGAGATTGGTTATATGTAACATGTCCGACGGGGTCTGTCTGGCTTGGCGGCTTTTGATAGTGTTGTTTTTCTGCCCATTAGGAGGGGAATATGCTAGTCCTGAAAAGGACTAACAGTTTGCCTGGGACGGCCTGGAACGGAATGGGAGGGGTCTCCTTTGGGTCTGAAACAGCCGGGGGAGGGGGGGACTTTAGAAAAAAAAATGTTGCTTTCTATTTTTGTAGTAGATTAAGTTTAACCTAAACAGGTGAAGGGAAGAAATGGGATTGAGGACACGAGAACATCCAACAGAAACTCTAAGATTAACATTGTTGAAAGGGACAAAGGATACTGCACTGGACTCCATCCATGATTTCGAGAGGACTGCAAGGATAGAACGGAATGGAAGACTAGACTGTGCGACATATAACGACACAACAGAACGGTAATGATATTTTGTTGGCTTTAGTGACTGAGGCGCTTTAGGTAAAGAAGTAGCAAATTCGCAAGTCTATTCTTACAATTAGCTGTCTCTTATGACATGCTTGTAGTATACAGTATTACTTTTGTTTTGATTTCAAGAAAGACCGATGGAACTTGAAAAATTATTGTAAATAAAGAACGCAAGTGACACATCAGGCTTATAATACCATTGACATGAAGGCAGCTCGGTGGGTAATGTGGTCAAAATAACGCCTTCCTCCTTTACTTCCAAGACATTAGCCTGTACCACTTTTAGCCTGGGTCGATCTAAGAGGCACGGTTAGTTTTTTAAACAATCAGCCTTGAAGCTGATTTGAAATCGAGACCTTCAGGTCAGGAGCAGAGGGACTAGCCGCCCGGTTAGCACGGCTCCCGATTTCAATATAAAAGTAACGAAAATGACCCTTCTACACGCCCTTAAGTGTATTGAGCATATAGGGCTAGACCTATAGTTTACAGACCAAACGGCACTTGGTGGGTGATGTGGTCAGCATTACACTGGCAGCCTTTGCGTCTCACTACTTCACCTGGTACCCATTTAAGGGTGGGTCGACCTGCGAGCCAAAAGTCACTTTGTTTTCAAGTCCGGCTCCGTCATAACCCATGCTCTACGGATTCGCTGGCGGTCTAGCCGCTACATCACAGCGGTTTCCTTGGTTTTGACATTACTGCCATAAAAAAAAGGACTAATTGTAATCATTATCAAAACGAAAGCCTAATACCTTGAATGTTCAGCCTCTATTGATTTGGGAATGATTAACGATGAAGTATTGATTTTATTTCTAAAGCAGTGTTAAGTATAAATCAATTTGATCCTACACCGGGTCGCCCTTGTGTTGTGTGGGAAATTTTTTATAAGTTATGCATAAATAAAAGCACGAACAATCAAGCACACCGCGAAAAAAAAAAAAAAACAAAACAAGACATACAGGTACTTATTTAAGATTGCACACTTAAACCAGGCTTATGCCCACTGACACCCCCTCATCGCCTCATTTAAATTTATTAAAATGGGGGGGGGGGGGGGGCAGTTATGCCTTCCAAGACTTCCGTTTGTGTGTTACAGAGGCCTTGCTTATAATAATTGCTGTTGTGGTCAAATGCTTTTTTAATATTATCTCGACTTTAGTCACGCCTATTTACCATGTAACTTTTGGGAGGCTGAGACAGGTGGCTGGATCAGAAATGACTATATCACAAATAAGAGTTCGAGTACCCATAAAATCAACCTTCGTCAAGTACACTAGAGAGAGAGAGAGAGAGAGAGAGAGAGAGAGAGAGAGAGAGAGAGAGAGAGAGGAGAGAGAGAGAGTAGAGAGAAGAGGAGTAGAGAGAGAGAGAGAGAGAGAGAGAGAGAACGAACCAGCGAACGAACAAACTTTATTTTCAAAGGGTTACACATTGTCACGCAGGCCCGTCTGACATTTGGCCCTTCTAAGCACTCATTTTTCAGTAATGCATGTTATGGATGTAATAAAGAAATATACATTATGGAAAATGCATACACACAATCATGTGTACACAATCTTATACAATCAAACACACACACACACACACACATACCACACGTATATATACTCTTACATTCTCATAAATGCACACTCATATACAGACATACGTAATACATACATACACACATACATTACAACCACATGCATGCATACACGCATATACAATCACACATACAGCTACCCACATGCATACTACAAACTTGCATACATAATATACACCCAC